ATCTCTCCCAGAACCCTAGCGCTGCCGTCCGCCCGCCTCCATGGAGCCGAAGCCTCACGCGCCGGAGTCTGGGCCGGCGACGCCGCGGTTCAGGCTGGGCAAGCAGTCTTCGCTGGCGCCCGAGCGCGGCGGCGGCGAGGGCGGTGGTGCGAGCTCGGCGGAGGGCTCGTCGGCCCAGGCGAACGGTGTCATGAGCTTCCAGCTCATGTACCTGGCGCACGAGGGCAACGCGGAGGGGATCCGCGAGCTCCTCGACGGCGGCGCCGACCCCAATTTCCGCGACTCCGACGGGCGCACGGCGCTGCACATCGCCGCCTGCGAGGGACACGCCGAGGTCGTCGAGCTGCTCCTCCAGAGCGGCGCGGAGGCCGCCGTCGAGGACCAGTGGGGCAGCACGGTGCGGCCTGCTTGAGTGTCTTTTGTCTTTCTTTACAAAAACTCCTTTTGCTTGCGTTTGATTGATGAGGACCGTAAAATCCTTTTCCTTAGAGAGAAATCTGAAAACAAATTGGAATTTTAATGGGAAAAGCTTTCACGATTGGTACACTAAGTTAGTTAAGAGGATTTAGTACGCGACAAGCTGACAATGACAAAATTTTATAGGCTATGTTAGCACGTGGAACATAGATTCAAGATAACATCATTTGTATTTGTGCATATATGTCTTGTTGTGACTTGCTGCATTAGTTGAGCGTTGCTACTATCTGGCAGCCTTTGGCGGATGCAATGCATTATCAGAATCATGATGTGATCAAGGTCTTTGAGAAGCATGGCTCCAAGCATAAGGTACTACGACGAGTGTCGCCTCTGCCTGATGTTTTGTTTTGTTCAGGTGTTCTGAATATTCGCTTCTTTCTTGAAGATTGCTCCAATGCATGTGAACAATGTTCGTGAAGTTCCTGAATATGAGATTGACCCAGCCGAGCTTGATTTCACTAATGGCAATGATCTATCCAAGGTCTGTATGTATATTTCCCTTTCTTTCACATGAGCCTTTTCAAATTGGTTGTCTCTAGCACTAATAAGCTTACAATTGGTTAGAATTGTTGATTTTAGGTTGTACTTTCTTTATCTTAAGTTTTAAAGCTATACTTCCACCATTAGATATCGTTGGCAATAAATTTTTTAGATAGTTATTATTTCAATCTGCTTTGCAGGGCACATTTAGAAAAGCAACATGGAGGGGCATTCCGGTTGCTGTTAAGAAGCTGGATGATGATCTAATTGTGGATGAGAGCAAAGTGTGGGTACTTTCCATTGAGTTATTCCATTTGTTTCTGGTCTATCTTGGCCTAATTTTACTGAATTTTACCTTTCTTCTAAAGCTATATTATCCTGATAGTTTGGATGTCTTACAGGCAGGCGTTCAGAGACGAGCTTGATGTGCTGCAACTTATACGCCATCCAAATGTTGTGCAATTTTTGGGTGCTGTGACACAAAGCAATCCAATGATGATTGTTATGGAATTTATGCGCAAGGTTTGTCTTAAGGGAAATATGCTGTTTATAATCTGCATTGTTTTCTAAATGTTATTCGATTAGTGAGGGCAATATATGAGGCTATGTTTTTAGCAAACCTTTTAGGTGTGGATCCACGGCTTCATATTATTCTAGTTGTCTACATGTGTAAAGTATTAAAAATGTTTTTTTTGCTAATATCTGATAGTTATTTACCTTAATAAGTTTCTTAATGCGTTGTGGCTTATGTTTGGCCTACTGACAATGTGAAATCAGATTTTAATTTGTAATAGCAGCTTCTTTCGTTTTGACAATGTTTGACGAACAATAAATCAGTGCAAGTTTCACTGTCTACCTCATGCGATTTTGTGATGTTTTTTATATTAAGATTAAGATAGCATATATGTTTCATGTTGACTTTGTTGTAACTTTTTATTCCACAACAGGATATCCAAATGTCATCATTATCAAAAAGCAACAAAATTACAAAATATTGTGTTCAAGTAGCACGATGACTTCTTTGTAACTACCAGCAATATGATTTCAACACTGCACAACGTCTAGATTTATTAACTCGGTGTCATAGTTTATGTAACATGTGTATTAAAATGCATCTTCATGTTATGTCATGGGCTATTGAGAATTACCAAAATGTTTATTTTCAGGGTGACTTGCGCACTCACTTGAGTAAGAAAGGAGCTCTGCCACCATCATATGCAGTGAAGTTAGCTCTTGATGTTGCAAGGTTTACCAGACATAACCTGGATACTATGAGATAAACTCTGTTGGCTACTATGTTTTGTTGTTATGAAGTAACTAAATCTAACTTATGTTCCTTTGTGAATTGTAACAGAGGAATGAATTACTTGCATGAGCATAAACCTCAAGCTATCATCCATCGTGACCTTGAGCCTTCGTGAGTACTCTGTGGTTATATTTTTTTTCAATGAAAATTGCTTGCTTCTTCTTCTGTACACCCCCATGTAGTGCTTTAAATACCTGGTTTGTTAAAAGACTTTCTATGCCCATTGTGTAAGATAACAGTAACATATTGAGGGATGACACTGGACATCTGAAGGTGGCAGATTTTGATTTGTGTAAGATGTTAAAATGGAGAAAAAAAGTTAGAGAAGATAAAGCGGTGACTTCTCCAGGCAATGCTTGTAAGTGGACTTCATTGTTTGTTATGCTAAATCTGTGCTATATTAGTGGTGACCTTTGCCCTTCTTAACTTATTTTGCCTTCTGTTTCAACTGGTAATTTTTAAAATGTCTCAGGCAGATATGTGGCTCCAGAAGTCCTGCGAAATGAAGAGTATGATACTAAAGTGGATGTCTTCTCATTCGCGTTGATACTTCAGGAGGTAAGTTGTGATATATTATAACGTTTTGCATCTCTGTCTCCACACAGTAGGTTGGATGGTGCATTTCTGTGTTCTCAAAATATTTCTGCCAACATATTTATATGGTATTGAGCACTGTTACGCAGTTTACTGCTGCTATCTTTATTCAGTTGACACTGTTGTTTCTTTAAACATAAGAACGACACTCATTTCAGCACCAATTACTCCCTGCAAAGTCACTCATATGACCATTTTTGTGCTCGATATGTTCCCAAATCCCAACTATTGTAGATGATTGAAGGATGCCTTCCTTATTATGATAAGAAAAATGATGAAATTGAGAAGGTACACAATTCTAAAGAAAGGCCGCCTTTTCGAGCTCCTCCAAAGCATTATGCTCATGGGTTAAGAGAGTAAGCAGTCATTCTTTCCGCTTTGCTTATATAGTGGCAATTACTAATTCAATTAGAGCACTTTTGTGTCTTGCTATGCATTTCAAACTTTAGCAAACTTCTGCTAGTCATGCTCAATTTAACTACTTGTATGTGTCAAATTTAACGTGTTCCATTTCCTCCAAGTACCATTATTGTTGGTGCTTTTCCCTTTGTAAATTTTGTCTGACCTTTTTGCCTGTCCACTTGACATTGATGCAGGTTGATTGAGCAGTGCTGGAGTGAAAATCCTGCAGACAGGCCTGATTTTAGAGTAATTATCAACCGGTTGTCTGCTATCCAAAATGAGATAGCTCACAGAAACCGTTGGAAGGTAGCCATTAATGCCTTCTCATTATACTTTGAGTATTTTGTAATGGACTGTGGCAGGAAATAATGTTTGTAATGTTCATTTTGCTGTAATTTGAACAGGTGAGACCTCTCAAGTGTTTCCAGAGCATTGAAGGAATGTGGAAGAAAGATCGCAATGAGGGCAGCACCACCCGTTCATCACGCTCATCACGATCCAATTTTTAACCACGAGCCCAAGCTATTGATTTCAATCGCAAGATCATATCGGTGATTGCTAGAAAATATACTCAAATGTATATCATATTTTCGTTTTCTTAAATTATAAAAAAAAGGCGGTTTTGCAACTGGTTGATTCTCAGCTGATCATAGTTTTGTTGTATATCAGGCATGCCTCACTGGCCCCAACCTCATGTACAGATTGTTGCAGTCATATTGTTGCCTTGGCACTCCCCTGGGTTGGGGCAATGTAATTAATTGTGAGACTCCTCTCCGATTAGCTTGTTCACGTTTTGTTAAGATCAAATCGGTTGCTAGATTCATCCATGAGATAAGAGTTGCAGGTAGGACGACGGGAGTACCGAGTGCTATTATTTCGTGTTAGATTGATGATTATATAATCGGCCCCGTTTGGTAGAACTTAGGTATTTCTAACTCAAGAAATCTAGGATGTGGAGATGGAGATAAAATTAAGAGCATCCAAATGATCTGTATTTTTTTTATATTGTTTGAACTAAACTGCAAGTTGGAGCTATGCTAAATCGCCCAGATTGTGTCCAGTTCTGGACATGAGTCCTTTGTAGTAATAATGTCTACTTTTTCAGTTTTCACGACTCTTATCATGTAATATGTAACTTGCACACCGTATGAACATTAGAACATGGTGTGCGGGTGGAGAGTGTAGAGAGACCGGTGCACGCTGCGTGCGGGAAGGGGGCCAGGTACCCAATCCGGCCGGCCGTGTGGAACAAGGCGGGACCGCGCGATGGTGGGCGGACCGTCGAACAAACCGTAGTTCAACGCAGATGTTCTTCAACCGAAACTCCTGCTCTTTATCTTAAATCTGCTTCACATTTTTTTGAACAGTGACCGGGGACATTTTGTGAACAGTGATCGGAGGAGTGTGACGCCAGCTACATTAGTAAAACGGGACGAAACATGTGTGTACCAATTTACAATAACATGAATATGCATTTACGATACTCGTGTTACTATAACTCACGGTGATATTTACCATAATGTTATAGTAAATCACTTAGTAAGGAGTTACTGTAGTCTCGTAAATTAGCATAGTAACTATCGTAACTCAAAGTGGCCACAGAATAAGTTATTCTATAGCTAGCTGCAGAACATATATATATATATATATATATATATATATATATATATATATATATATATATATATATATATATATATAGAGAGAGAGAGAGAGAGAGAGAGAGAGAGAGAGAGAGAGTTCAGATGGATAGTGACCATACATCCCTTTTGCGAGTGGTGCACAATACAATCACGAGGAGGCCAGAAGGGGAAACAAAGAATAAAGAGGAAGATGCTTTTAAGCTTTGCTGGTCTTCACGTGACCGACATGGACATCCATACAACGAACTAGAGCTGAGCGAGCGTGCGCAGATCCACGGGGTGGACGTCGGACGGCTGCGCCGCGCCGCCCTCCGACCGACGAGGACGTTGGCCGCCTCCGTGGGGTGGAAGGCGTCCCAGAAGAGGTACTCGTTCCTGTTGGCGCACGGCGTCTGGAACGGCAGGCACGTCACCTGCCCGTTGTTCCGCCCGACGCCGCAGCACCCTCGGTTCGTCACCGTCAGACCTGCACAAACACGTACAAACCCAGCAGAGCTCGATCGATCAGGACGGGATACTCACAGTCTCACACTGAGCTAGCTATCCTTTGGTTTGGCGTCCACTCAAACACGTGCATATACGTACCGTGCGACCCTGGGGCTCTCAGGATGTCCTCGAAGATCCCGTACACGTTGATGTAGGTGAAGTGCGCCCCCGGCAGCGCGTTGAACTGGTCGACGAGCGCGACGAGCTTGCGGTTGAAGATGTCGATGGCGCCGTTGATCTCCGGCACGCAGGTGGCGCCGTCGGCGCTGTGCTGCGCCAGCTCGTTGGGGCTGCACCCGACCTGCCCCAAACCCATCAGCGCCACCTTCCTGGCCCTGTAGCTGTACAGCGTCCGGAGCTGCTGCGCGTACTGGCCGATGAGCACGTCGGCGTACTGCGCCGAAGTGTACTGCTGGCTGGTGGAGTAGACCGCCGGCATGAAGTAGTTGTTGAGGTAGTCGTTGCTGCCCATGCCCACCGTGAAGATGCACTGGCTCAGGTGGTTGGCCGCGGAGTCCTCGTCGCCCAGGATGCTCACCAGCTGCTGCACCGCCGCCTGGTAGTTCTGCAGCTGCCCGCCGAAGCTGATCCGTTGCCCCTGTGGCCATGGCATGGTCCGTGTGCGTCAGGAGCCTAGGATCACGTACTACGAATGGAAAACACATGCTTAGTAATGCGTGCGTACCAGTTGCTGGCCGGTCTCGTCACGGATCCCGGCTGCGGCGGAGGCGAAGTTGACGACGGTGAGGAGCTGATCGCCGCTCGCGCCGGCATACGCGGGGATGTAATCGTCGAAGCCCAGAAGCCGAGCTGAAAAACGACACACGAATACATGATGCGTCGGCATCATGGAACTAACTAATATTGGCATGACAATTGACAACGATATCTGAATGGACGTATTACTTCATTTTCAAAGCGTGCTAATATAAAACCAGTGTTACACAACAACTAAAACCATGCAGCTCGATCGATAGATACGAACGAACTTACGAAGCAAACAAGAAAGGGGATAGAATACACAGTGAGAGCTTACATATAGCGTCGACGGTGGTGAGGCCGTTGCTGAAACGCCCGGTGGCGCCGCCGGCGAAGTCGATGCCGTAGGGCGGGTAGTTGGCCCGCGCCAGCGACGCGATGTCGTTGTTGTTCCCGTTGTCCACGAGCAAGTCCCCGAACACGAAGTAGCACGGCACCTGGGGCTCGCCCCGCACCACGACGACGGCGACGGTGGCCAGCCGCGCGGCCACGACGAGGAGCAGCGCCGGCTGCGGCCACCGCATTGTCTCACGCCCCATTCCTATGTAGCTAGCTAGCTAGATTGGTATGGTGAGGCTCGATCAGGCCGCGACGACGGATCAAATATAATGGTGGTGACCGGCCGGCCGACACATTCGAGCCTTACTTATAGATAGGGTAGGTTGGTTGCTATACTTGCTAGAAGCACCTAGCTAGCTAGATCAGCATGTGGTAGGCCCCTGCCCCTCTGCAGGACGGAGTGCGTGAAGGAGCGAACAGTTACCATGCTCAGCGCGTCCTCCATTTTGGCGACCTCTGCATGTGCGCGTGCATGGTGGTGATGCATGGTTGGAGCAGTCACGGTTGGGTTGGGGTTGTGCTGATTCATTACTACCACGCGGACGCGGCGAGGCCCGCGTGACAGAATGATGCAGAAGATCGAGCAAGAGCTGCCAGTCTGCGACGACAGTCGATCGGGGTTGGTTTACCATCTGGAGGTCAGAATGTCGATCGTCGTGTACCTCCACTCCTCCAGTTCCAGTGAATGGCAGCCACCCATATATACCACGAGTCCAAGTAGAAGCATGTGATTGCTGAATGGCCGGCCTTTCGTACGCGGGACACCCGTACTGTTACTGCCTTGCGAGTACTCTCCTACAGTAGATGCCGCCAATGGTGAACAGGATGTCCGCCAATTGCTCCAATGGATGCGTGCGGTTAAATACATGGGCAGCAGAATCCTGAATGTAAGAATAAGGTGCCTTTTGTGGACAAGCTTATTTATATGCATGAAATATGTTAGCGCTATAGTACCGCACCATGGGAGTTGGAAATAAATCAGTACATGTACAGCAACATTTGCACATATGACGACTCCTGGTTCTACCTGTAGCAAATGAAGCATACCATACCGCCCGGGCAAGTACGCGGCATCCGGACCATCCCCGGAGGAGACACTCCACATGCAAGCATCGGAAACATCTTGTCACCGCCTGCTCGCCGACGGGCCCTGCGCACCCTTGGTACACGGATTTGTTCTACGGGATTTATTGCACCGTCTTGGGGTAGAGATCACTTGACCTTTTCGTCGACCCGCACTAGCTGCAACTCGGCTCGGCAAGCCCCGCACGCCCGCACCGGCAGAAGCGTTATGCGTACACAGTTTCTACGTCTCCTGCAGCCTCGATCGGTTTGCCCATTGATGTGCGGGGAGGCCGGGAGGCGTTCACAGTTTGGTGGTGCGAGGAGCGTAAATGCGCGCGCGCAGCGCAGCGCCTTCCAGTTCCAGGCGACGCGCATGGAAAGCTTCCGCGCGATCCACATGCCAGCCGATCAGATGGAGCGGCTGGCGATAGCGTTGTGGCATTCAATGCGGTGATGTCGTGGACACGATCAACGAACCGGCGTTGATCGGCTGGCTCGCAACGAGACTTCGAGCTGATCCGTCCGGCTCGTAGGGCAAACGATGTGAATGAATAATGATCGAAGGTACGTACGGTGGCGCGCGGTAAAAAGATTTGCCTCGTGTGCGTGGAGTGGTAGGGGATTCGGATCATTTCTGGCTCTCGTTGGCAGTCGATGGGTAGAAAAAATGCACGGCGATCGGCTACATCTGTATACCGCAAACTCGTATGTACGGAGTATCTCTTTTCTTATACGGTTATACCCGTGTCTTGCATAGTAGCAAGTCACAAGCCAGAAGTCATGGACCACAAAGCTCGCTGCAACTACGAGTAAGTCTACCAGAATAGGCGTGTAGTGTAGTGTACCAAGTCGCGTGACGGCTTTCAAGTTCCGTAATGCGGACATCCGTCCGACAGACCAGACTGACCAGCCCGCACTGCGCGCCGCGTCCCCCTCCACGCCGCCCACCGCGCAGCCACCCCTTCGCCTCCCAGTTCCCACCCTTCTAACTCACCGCCGCTAGAGTGAGCCGCTAGCAAGTGCTGAGAGGCCGCTGTCGGGGTCAGATCTGGATAGGGTGGAGCTTCACGCGACCTCACTACACTACAACACCACATCACCGTCAGACATCTGACGCTAAAAATTATATTTATCGATGAATGATCTGTCGCTAAAGATAACTCACAGACCATCTGTCGCTAATTCCTCATTTAGCGATTTATTGTCTGTCGCTATAGATACTGATATTTAAGGTTGAACTGCCTGTCGCTAAAGCCAAGTATACCGTCAATCTGTCTGTCGCTAAAGAAAATGGGCCCTACGCTGAACTCGCATGCCCCACCTCTATCTAGCTCGCTCGCCCACCAGTGAACCCTAGACTCTCCTCTCCTCGAAATCGCAAATTCAGCTTTTTCAAATCATGAACAAACCACTAAGCTATGAATATGTGGTTGAATGTACTTGAATTCAGTTTTTTTAGTATCTTTTTGTTGAATGTATCTATCTATGAACATGTAGTCCCACTTTCTTAAAAATGTTTGAAATATTTATGAAATGATCATGGACCAAAATTTAATATAAGCACGCAGAAATTTGAAACACGTACTTTTATTTGGAATTTAATATAGACATGCAGAAATTTGTTTAAACTATAGAAAACAGTAAATGATTTTCAAAATTTTGTGTACTTTTACGCAACAACATATATGCAGTCTATTTCATGTAAAAATATTTTAGTTACGAGTACTATTTTGATTAGAATATTCACCAATGTGTCTTAATTAGTTAAAATAAAAAAAATAATTAATAAAGATGAACCTTTCACGTGCGCCCTCCAAGCCCATAGTCGGCCCACCTATCCCACCCACCCAGGCAACCCTAGGTCACAACACACACAGACACAGCCTATCTATCGAGCCGCCGCTCCCTCCGCACCTCTGTTCTGTTCACTCTCTCCTGCTCCCTCTCCGCAGCTCTCCCACCTAGTGCTCTCTTCCTCATGGAGGAGCTCGATTCTGCAAGGAAGAGCTCGATCCGGTGAGGAGGGTCCTGGATCCGGCGCAGGCCCAAGAGGCGGCCACGGGCGGGCTTGGGATGCGGAGGCGTGTGCTCGAGATGCGTCAGCGGCGCGGGTCCGAGATGCGGCAGCGGCGTGGATCCGAGCAGTGACAGCCGGCAGAGGTCCGGGATGCGGCGGCTGTAGTTTCCACGAGGACCAAGGAGGCAGCGGCGGCGTGGCTCGGGAGGCGCACAACCACGAGATGCGGCAGCGGCGCCGATCCGTGATCTCGTAGCGGCGCCGGTTCGACATGCGACAGCGGCGCGGTATGTGGCGGCGTAGGCCCATTAGGAGGTGCTCAGGAAGGAGCTGGTGGTTCGAGCTCTGAGGAGGACGAGGCCACGGCGGCGGCAACCACCACTACCCGCGGCGGCACGCGCTCCAGACGTCACTACAATGTGAGACAGCCCTCCATCTCCCCTTTTGTAATTTATGTGCTTGTGTAGATGCAATTATGGTTTGATCTCGTCATCTCGTGTGTGTTTATGGCTGGCTGCTAAGTTTGGACTTGATTTCGTATCGATAAATGTTTAGTGAACTGCTAGATAAATTAATCTTTGATTTGTAAGTGTACTAGTGCTACCTGTTTTTTTATCATTTGTAGAACATGATTTTGAACTAAATGCAGGTCAAAAAATACTGGTCTCAGATATGAATTAGTTTTCTCAGTAAACATCACCGAAGAGAGTAGTTTGCTGACAAAAATAATTTTGCCATTAAGAACTAGCTACCTTCTTGTTAGACACCTTATGTAGTAATTCTTTATTTTTCCCTCCAATCTAAGATTTTTGAATTGGTCTCTCTTGTCTCCTGAATTGATTACAATATTAAGTAGAACAGAAAGTTTTGTGAACAGTAGTCATATCTGTAAGATGACGATTTTACAGACAGATATACAGTATTCCTTGAAACGAGTAGACTTGCATCTATTTTTTTCTGAAAGGGCCTCTCATGATATATTTGTACCATTTAATTGTTTGAGCATTAATGAAGTGTAACTGTTTTGAGTTATTCTTTTCAGAAGGTTGTACTTCATTAGTCAAACTTTGATTTTAAATGAGCAATACATTATAGTCACTGTATGTGTATGTGCTACTCACAAACAATCCATTTAATAATAGTAAATGACTAACTGCAGTTGTGCTTGTAAAACATGCCATTTTGTTTCAAAGTCATTATCAACTTTTCACTTTTTTTTGAAAACTTTTCACTATGGAATACCCTTATATTCAGATACCTAAATTTCTTTCAACTTTGTACCTTGGCATGACAAATTCTAGTGTACTAGGATTCTGGAAGAACCATTATACCAGTTCGATAAATATAGTTTTAAGTCTTGGAAGAAACATGATTGATAGAGGTCCAAAACATGAGTATATCCAGCATGAGTAATAAGTGTAATTGTTCTGCTAGTTGACATTGCTTGTTCTGCTAGTTAACAATTTGATGTTGTCTCTCTGATTTTTTATTTTATGCTAAATTAACAGCAAGTAATTTGTTATTGTTTCAGTTGCAGTCTGAATTTTTAGCATGTTTGGATCTGACTTATATATACTACCTCATATATTAGGCTGCAATCTGAATTTTTAGCAAGTCTTGATCTGAATTATACTAATCTGTATTTTTAGCAAAGTTCAAAAAGACGCTAGGCGATTTCTAGGCGATGACCCGTAGCCTAGAGTCTAGGCGGGCCTAAGCGAGCCTAGGCGTTTTAATGTTTTAACTTTAATTAATACACATTCATATATTACCTTAGATTATCTTAAATAAAAGAAGAAATATGAGACATGTGGACCTAAAGTTGGAAGAAAGGCCCATCAAAAGAGCCCAGCCCATCTTATCCATACTCCTCTGAGCCTCTTCCATCCTTTTCTTATAAAAAAAGAAAGAAAAGAAAAAACCCCTTCCATTCTCATGAACCAGTTTATCCTTATCCATCCGCGTCTCCTTCTAGCCGCACACACCCTCCGCAGTCGCAAACGCCCGACTTCGCCCTTCTCCGTCGCCGCCCTCACTCTCGCTTCTTTCTCCACATGCTGCCAGCCTCCTCCTTTTCAAGTGACGTGTGCAAGACGCACTTTGCACGCCTGCCGCCTGCACGCGTCCGAAGCTCCTCCTCTGTCACCGGCGACCTCCGCCAGGCGCTCCTCCTCCCCCATCGGCGTCGCCGGAGAGCTGGCGCCGCCAAGGGGTCCGCCTACCCCCTAGACCAGGCGGGACCCCCTCGCCTAGTGCCTAGTCGCGCCTAAGTGGACGCCTAATGTCTCCTTTTTGAACATTGATTTTTAACAAGTCATGATTTAGAATAATAATATCTCTTATAACATTAATTACCTTCTGTTCCAAGATTTTTTTTATAATATTTTATTTAGATCACAAGCTCTTAATACCGATGAGGGACATCATAAAGCCCCAGGGGATGCTCCAAACTTCTAGTGAACCACTGTCTTTAGGAGTTAAGACCCTGTTTAAATTGGAAATAGTAAGCCAATAACAGTGAAGGTAAGCTCAATTGACTTCTTAGATATCTCAAATTTCTTATGCTAAACTACTGTCTTTAGTGTTAGGCCTCTAAATAATGTTACTACCTCTGGAATTTTTATTGCATATGTGCATTAGTAACTAAGATATAAGTTGATTTGTAGTAGCTGCTGCAGCTATCAGTCCTCTATGTGTTTAATTTCAGTATGTAATCTGAGTTTGCAGCATGCGTCAAAACGGTTATTTGATTTTGAGAAAAATAATATATTGCAGTCTGAAAGTCCAATGCTTCAAGGGGACTATGTGGAAGATGCAATCACTACATTGAGTAGTGGCACACATTTTGGTACACCGTACATATGAGTTGCAACATGTGTCAAAACTATTTATTTCGATTTTGAGAAAAATACTACTTTGAGTAGTGGCACACTTTCTGGTACACTGCACACAGAGGAGCAGGGTGTTCCATCTCTATCGCACTTGGCTTCCACATTTATTCTTCTATGTATAGTTGCTGCTTTCTACTTGTATTGCTTGCTCGGCCTTGAACTCGAAATAATGGCAGAACTTCTATTTACCATGATAGTATCCTAAGTTTGTCGTCTTTGCGCATCGAAGCATGAGTTTTTGGATATGGTCACATATGCAAAGCCATGCCATTTTTTTATAAAAAAATGTAGAGGTGTTGTGGCCAAGTGGCAATGCAAATGTTAGTTGTCAGTTGCTGATCTTATTTCTAATTGCTCTCTGTTATGAAATTTTGTAGTGTGAACAAATATAATCTAAAATATGCTCGCTGCGAAGACTCATGGATAAGGCATGGATTAAAAATGTGCACTCATGTAACTCTTTTGGTGCTTCACTTTGCTGGATGATGTACACAAGCATATGGTGTATAAGACAAATTGGATGTAACATGTATTGACCTCTATCTATGTGATATATATGTGTTTGTGTACCTTCATGTGACATGTGGACACTATATTAAGCTTGAATCTAGGTATGATATGTGATACGCGCTACATGTTTTCTCATTGTATTTTTTATATTTATATTGTCCTATTGAACCATCTGTTGCTATAAATACATGGGCTATTGGATGGTCTGTCGGTATATGCTTGGTAACAGAGCATCTGTCGCTAAAAACTAGTAATGGACTATCTGTCGCTATAAATATTCAGGGCAGTAGACTGTCTATCGCTAAAAGTACTGTCTGATGCTAAAGATTTTTAGCGACGGGACCTACACCGTCTGCACAAGTTTGTCGCTATAGCTTTTTAGCGACAGATCGTCTATCGCTGTATCCTCTTTCAGCGTCAGATCGTCCATCGCCAATCTCGCTGTTGTGGTGTAGTGCGTGAGATTTGCGCGCACTCTCCCGCTCAGACTCGCGCCTCCTGCCACGACCGTGCTCCATCTGACGACGAGTTGCCCGCGTCGGAGCTCCGCGCCGTCACGATCTCCATGCGCCGCCGCCGAACTCTGCGTCGGCGTCGAGCTCCGCAATGATGAGCCTCCATTCGTTCAATCAGCAAGGTGACATTACGTTGAAAGCACATATTGAATTATTGTAAGCGTATGTTTCAAGTGTTTCAGATGTTTCATGAGTAAGTTGCAGGTGTTTTATGTGGATGTTGCAAAACTAGATTGAGATGTTGCACATGTTACAACGGTTGTACACGTATATTGCAAGCTTCTGTTCCCAATGTTTCATCTGTTTTTTTCACACATATGTTGCAATTGTTTTATTTGGATGTTGCGTATGTTTTACGATGGTTTTTAAGAGTTTTTCTTGTGTTTTGCAAGTGTTTTCATATGCGTGTTTTAAATATTTCATCTGCCTTTCTATGTATGTTTCGAGCGTTGTATCTGGATGTTTTAAAAGTATATCTAGTGTTCCTTCTCGCTTTTTAACGTTTGCCTCGGTGTCTCCGCCGAGCATCCGTCGCCCCCTTTTTCCTTTTTTTTCCGATGCTGGTGGCGTTCAGAGCGACGCGGGAGACCCGCGTAGACGCGTGAAACGACACGTGAAACAGGTACAGACGCGGAAGTCCTAACGTCCGTGCCCGTTCCCAAGTTCCACCGAGCGCTGGCTCGCTCGGACAGCAGTACGGGTGCGTTGTAAAGCGTCCATCGCTGTCCCCGCGTGAGTGCGTGACTCCGTGACCCACAATCGGTGGTAGCCCTGGCCGCCGCGGCGACTGTTCTTTCAGGCCGTTACCCGGTTGGCAGAGCTGAAAGGCTCGTGGCCTCGTGGGCTCCCACGAGGGCTGTGTGTGGGTGTGGCCTCGTGACCTGACCATGGACGAGGCGCGGACCGAAGATGTGTGGCGACCAGCGAGACGACAAGCCCGTTCTCGTGGCCCGTGTAAGAATACCTGAGTTCCGTATGAAAGGCCCACGAATAGCCCACGCCACCATGATTATTTCAATGGCTTGTACAGCCCAAGTCAATTTTACCTCCTTTAACAACCAATGTGGTTCCATTCAAAACAAAAAATAAATAAATCAATGTGGTCTTATTTTCTTCCATTTTACATCTCTTAACTATCAATGTTGTTTGATTTTCCTTTTAAAGTACAATGTTGGACATCCTACATCTTGAAGGGTCTAATATACAAGATAAATCACATCCCTAGCTACTTTTTATGGTGTTTTTAGCCTACATGACACCGCATCAGTTGTCATATGTGGCACATCAACCCCGAGAGATCAAGAAATTTATACAAATATTTTTCCAAAAAAATACAATATTCTTGTTTGAAAAGTTATACAATTAAAAATCCTAAAACCTCATTTAATCTTAGAGAATTCGGTTTAGCTCCCTGAAAAATATAAAAAATAGTCTCAAAATTTTTCTAAATCACACAGCATCTTCTAGCACCTAGCTCGGAGTTACTTGAACTTTCTATGGTCTACTTTCGTTTTTTGCTAGTAGATGCTTTTCTTGGTTATCTATTATAATTAGTTGGAGTTGTTGACCTAGACTACATAGAAGAAAGTGACTTTCGACGATAACACAAAGTATCACTTGATCTTATCTATGAACATGTTTGTGTAAGATTGATATCAATCCAAAGAAAATGGGATATCTATCTATTGCACTGATGTTATCTATTTGCAAAAGTGTTGTTGAGATAGGAGTTGAGTTACTTTCAAAGTCCTCTCACAATGTAATGGTGGTTCATTTGAAAGGAACATGGATATTTTGGTCACTACTCACCATGCCTAGTTCTTGAGCAAGTGACACCGTGTCCATACTAAATATGATCAAGTATGGAGTGATTATATAACACTTGCGTCCCCCTCAAAATCTGTTAGTCTATTGGCATGTGCAGGTTTACTACCCGAAATTGCGCGCACAAAACAAAAGCTTCCTCGAGTGTGCTATCAGATTGGACGTCCCACATGGAGGTAAGCAAGACAATGTGTCATCTGAAAAGATTCAGGACCACTAACAGGTTCCTGATATGGAACGACGATGACTTCGCCGATATATCCTCCTTGACGTCAAGCGGGCAAGCATGCCGGCGCCGCTTGGCTGTCATTTAGGCAATCTCAGTGATGAAGAGGCCGTAAAGTATCCTCACATCACATGAGTTGCTATCTCGCCAAGATTCCAAAATCAGGACCGGAGGAAAGAGTGCCCTCTACGTCACTTCGGGGCACAAGCAAATGGCGCATCCCGGGGCGACGCGGTGCACGCCCGCGGGCTGGAGCTGGACGAATATAAAAAGTACTCAGGCAGGCAGGCGGGCAGCCCTGCCTCGTCCGCCGTGGCCACAGCCCACAGCACAGCTCAGGAAATGGACGCCATGGACGAGTTCCAAGAAGCGGACATTCTGTGGCCCGACACGGAGGACGAGTTCGCGCCCATGGACATGGAGGAGCTGTACGAGGCCGCCGGCTCGGCGTCCAGCGTCGCGTTCGCGCCGGTGTTTGGGCGCCGTTTCGAGGGGTTCTTCCTCTCCGGCGCTGGCCCTGGAGCGAGCCCTGACGCGGACGACGAGGAGTGGCAAGAGGCGGACGTGCTGTGGCCGGACACGGCGGACGAGCGGCGGGGGAGCGGCGGGGGTTTGATGTGGCCATTTTCTGGCTCTTCCGGCGGCGGCAGGGCAGACCGGCGCGTGAAGCCTGCCGCCGCTAGGCGCGATGGGTGGACGACGGGGCCGGCCGCGTCGTCTCCCATCAACATACCGGCTAACGTTGCCCTGCGTCGTTCGTAGAGATTTGTCATTTGTGGTTCTTGCGACCTTGGTCCTGTGGTGCAATTAAAAAACCAGGACCCGGGCCGGAGGCGAGCTGTGAAGAAATGTTTTGGAAAGATCAGCTATCAAGAAACTCAGTGGCGTTCGAGGATCGCTGGAGCTGCCGAAGTCTACGACATTTCGGATTTTGGACCTGATGATGGTTCTCGGAGTAGATTAGATGATCTCTTTTTTTTTTGCTTCGTTGATGTAACTTCATCTGATGATTCTGATATAAGAAGATTGCTTTTCAGAAAAAAAGAAAAAGAAAAAAGTCCGATCTGTGGTGTAGGAAGATTAATAATCAATGAAAGAGAACACGTCATGTGACCAAACGAAAGGCTATTGTTCTTGCCTTCCTCGGAATCATCAGTGCAGGTGCATGCGCAAAAGAGCATCAAGGGTGGCTTAATTCGTGCACATTTGCAGAGTCTGCAACTGCTTCAAGCTAGCATCTCATCTTTTTCGCTAGCATCTCATCTTTTTCGCACGAAACGACAACTTCATGCACCCCTGTTTAGGACATGTTTGATCTCCCAACTAAATTTTAGCTGGTTAAATTTAGCTGCCAGAAATCCAAACGATTCAACTAAAAAACCAGCTAAAGTTTAATTGAGTTTAACTGTTTCAACTCAGCTAAACTTAGTTAAAATTTAACTAAGTCTATTAGCGGGTGTATCTAAACACTGTTTAGTTAGGAGAATTTGTAGCTGACTAAGATTTAGCTTTAAAATTTTAGCTAAAACCAGGTGGATCAGGGCCTTAGCCGGCCGGGTTCGCTCCGCGGACGCTAGGTCGCTAGCTCAAAGTCAGTAATCTGGTCAACCGGAGTTAGGATTGGCAATTTATCTGATTTCCTCTCTTCTTCATGGAAACGACAAATTTTACACGTCTTTGCCAGCCGGGTCGCTTGAGTACGTACTACAGTACTAGTCAAAACTGTTGGGCATTGTACTGTACTTTGGCTGGGTAGGAGTATGTCAGGAGTAACTCATGCAGTTCAGTCGGGTCAGCCAGACGTTCGTCCTGTCGTTTGTGCCGTGCACATAGAATCCGTGCCGACCTTCTCGCAAGACCGTTAGAGTCTCCGACCCTGAAACGCATACCGGGCGACCGAGCTGTGGCGTGTGACGCCTTTCGCCCATGCGGGCATGCCAGTATTAGCGTGACTCTTGGGTTTTGTCGTCGCTAGCGTGATTCGCAGCGCTACGCTACGCACAGTTGCAGCGGCGAGCCGCCCCGGCAACAATTGCACGCCAAGCACAGTCCCTTCCGTCTCCGTCAAGAGTTAAATCTGTCCCCCGTGGCACGGCAGCGATCCATGATTGCGCCATCATTGCCAGGGGCGCTCCTTAAACTTTCTTGTGGGCCGGTCATTGTGGCTTCGGCGCTTCGCGCTGCTAACGAAGATGTTACTGATGATGAGACGTGTCCAATCAGATCGGTATGAACAGCGTGATTTTTTTTGTGTGATCGTGCCCAGACACGTTTTTTATTAAGCATGAAAGAGTTTTGTTACAAGCACTTGTAACAACGGTAATCCCAGGTTATCGAGGTGACCGAAAGAAACTAAGCTCACACGTGATTGTAATTACGCGAAAACAAAAGATGCGACCTGAGTAAGAGATACATCAGAGAAGCGCCATGAGCGACTTCAGGTGCTTATACCCTGCCAAGAACAAGCGTCAATCTCCTCCTGGATCAAGGCTCCCAATTGCGCTGCTGATGTTGCGACTCCATTGAAAGTTCTCGCGTTCCTTTCCTTCCAGAGCAACCAACCAACGAGGAAGAACAGGGAGTCAAAACCTCGTCGAATAGGTTTGGGGATCATCTTTCTGTTGTGCAGCCACCAATCCATTGCCACTTCTTCTCGTACTATGATGTTGTTTTGGAGATGTAGTCTTCTAATCCAGGAATCCCAAACCCCACGACTGAAGGAGCAACCGAGAAGAATGTGGTCCATTGTTTCCGCTTCTTGGTCACAGATGATACAGGTGTTTGAATCCTGCAGTCCATGTCGAAACCTCCTAACTGCTGTCCAGCACCGCCTGTGCATGACCAACCAAAAGAAAAACTTCACCCTTGGAGGCGCCGAGGTCTTCCAAATCAGCTTTGCACCAGCGGGTGACGATGATCCAAGGAACATGGCACCGTACGCCGACGCCACCGAGTAGTTTCGGTCAGCAGTGAGCCCCCAACAGAAAGTGTCTGGCTACGCAGACAGCTGCACTCCCTCCAAACGGTCACATAGGTGGCCAAATTCAACCAAAACCCTCATAGTGAGCGGCCCTGTAATGTGTCGTATCCAGGCATCCTCGTGCATCGCCTCAGCGACCGTCGCCTTCTTCTTCCTGCAGCTCACCGCAGCGAAGACCGCAGGTGCAATGGCCTTGATGCTTGAGCCGTTGAGCCATCGGTCGGTCCAGAAGAAGGTGGATTCCCCGTTGCCTAGGGTGAAGATTGTGGCTGCCTGGAACACAACCACCACTGCACATTCGCTCGAACGTAATGACGGTCAATCCTCCGTTCGCGCTTGCCATTCCCAGCGCACCCGCAGCGCGATGCCCGCGTGTCGCAGGTCTGAGACGCCCAGGCCACCGAGGTCCCTCGATCGGCAGACGACCTCCCAAGCAACCTTGCATTTTCCTCCGCTAGCCATATCAGAGCCACACCATATGAATGCTCTGCGAAGCTTGTCAATGGACTCGATTGCCCAAGGAGACAAACAAAGCGCGATGGACACATGTACCGGAATGGCGGACATCGTTGCCTTCACCAAGGCCGAGCGACCAGCGACGTTTAGTAGGCTCCCCTTCCATTTCGGAATTCTGGCTGCCACCTTGTCAATGAGCGGTTGCTCATCAGATCTCCTTAGCCTTTGGACAGATAGTGGGATTCCAAGGTAGCGACATGGGAACTCCTCGATCCAGCAAGAGAGGATGTCCCGGACTCGTGCAATGTCATGGTCAGAGCAATGCAGTGGAGTCGCCACACTCTTGTCCAAGTTGGAAAAGAGGTTGGAGGCCAAGCTGAAAATTGCCAGTGAAGCTTTGACAATGTGGAGGTCGCGCTCATTTGGAGCGACGAAGAGGACAAGGTCGTCCGCATAGAGACTTACTCTGCCGCCCACACTGCTATGCAACGGCGTCAGAAGGTGTTGCTGTTCAACCCATCGCAGCAAGCGGTTGAGGACCTCCATGGCCAGAATGAACAACATTGGCGATAGGGGATCGCCCTGGTGCAGCCCACGCGCGTGGCAAATTCTCCTGCCCGGCTGCCCGTTAAGGAGGATTTTTGTGCTTGCCGTAGACTGGATAATGGATACCCAGTTTCTCCGGCGGCGACCAAAACCCATGTGCTGAAGGACCTCAAGGAGAAAGGTCCAAGAAACTGTATCGAAGGCTTTAGCGATGTCGATCTTGAGCAAGATGACCGGCGACTGCCTGGCATGGATGGCCTTGCACGCTAGCTGAATGTGCCTGAAGTTGTCATGTATTCGTCGTCCCTTGATGAACGCGCTCTGATTACGCAGGAACAGGCTATCGAGGACGCCGGCCAGCCGCTTAGCCAGACATTTGGTGATAAGTTTGTCGAAGCTATGGATGTGGCTTATGGGACGGTAGTCCCGAATCTCTACCGGCCGCTCCTTTTTCTTAAGTAGAATCATGTATGCATCGTTAAGGTGATTAAAGCTTCTCGAGTCCTGCGACCAAAACGCACTGAACGCGTTCACGATGTCCGTTTTGATTATCTCCCAGGTCTTCTTGTAGAACAGCCCCGTTAGCCCATCCGGACCTGGCGCTTTGTCGTTCGGCAACTTCGTGATGACCGACCAGACTTCATCCTTGGTGAAGAAATGCTCAAGTGCCATCAGGTCCTCATTTGGCACCCCTAGTCCAAGTAGATCAAGCCTCCGCGAACGGTCCAAGATGGTAACCATGATTGTGTTGAAGTAGTCGTATAGGGCGTCGGCCATCGCTGTGTCGCTGATCACCTCCGTTCCCTGGACGCGTAGGGAATCGATTCTGTTCTTTCGGTTGCGGTGGCAGGCCTGGAGGTGATAGAACTTGGTGTTGGCGTCCCCCTCCGCGAGGAACAGCAACCTCGATCGCTGCCTAGCAATCGTGCGAGCCAGGCAGCCAGCGAAGCTAACCCAAGAACCCGCACCTTGAGGGTTTTACCCAGCTGGGACTCCCATCACTATAGGAAACCGAGACTTTGCCCAGTGCTCAAATCTTTGCCGAGTGCCAAATATCGGGCACTCGGCAAATGCCACCTTTGCCGAGTGCCGCACTCGGCGAAACTTGGCACTCGGCAAATAGGGCTTTGCCGAGTGTCCGGCACTTTCGGCAAAATAAAACACTCGGCAAAGCCAAACTTTGCCTTTGCCGCACACTTTCGGCAAAGTTGGGCACTTTCGGCAAAGAGGCGCCCGGGATAACGGTACCCAACGCCGTCCTCTTTGCCGAGTGCCTTCTGCTTGGCACTTTCGGCAAAATATTGGCTTTGCAGAGTGCCTAGGTAATTAAAACTTTCGGCAAAATATTGACTTTGCCAAGTGCCAAACCTTGTACTCGACAAAATAATTTTTTTGTTTTTTGCCACCAACTTTTTTCTTAGATTTGTATTTGTACCATGAACAACATGTTCAAATTTGGCACAATTTCATTGCTGTTTATATATTTCTTCACTTTATTTTGTTTTCTTACAATTTTCAGGAAAATGTAGGTTTGAAGCATAGGTGCATCGAATAATAGTTTTGATCCATTCAAAAATGTTATTCTTGTTTGTTAGTGTCACTTTATGCTAAATCTAGGAATTGTCTCCAAATTTAGATCAAAACTGCTCACGAGATGCGTCGCGAAACTTGCGTCACAGTGGTTATTTAATTCTATAAAATTCAAGCGAATCCGAAAATCATGAAACTTGGCGAGATATAACTATATCACATGCATATCACGGTGGTAAAAATTTGAAAA